AAAAAAAGAATTCCATTCAGCATTTAATGACTCATTTTTCAGGGTACTTTCACCCAAAATCGAGAGTGTCTCTAGTAGCAATAAAACTCCCCTGAAAATGGTTCCCACTACCCGAGTTGAGTGGTTTCCATCGTTTTAAACGGTATACAGTTTGATTATATCTACTTATCTTCCTGATGCAACCGCCTGAATTGTCCCAAGAAGGTGGCATTAACTTTTCTGCTAAAACCGGTTTCGACATCGATAAAGTGTCCCATGAGGTGAGCAAACAAAGTCCCAAAATTTTACTCTAAGCATCGAAAACAACTCATTTGCCCTCCTACAAATCCTCAAGGTCGAGGAGTTCGATTATCCACACTTCGTGCCAGCAAGTAAAACAAAACGCAAACTATATTACAAGTATTTTTTATTATGGGAAAATAGTTTCCAAAGTTTATAAGTGAAGAAGGAGGTCTTGATGACGTTAAAACGAAATAACACGGCATTCCTAGCAGGATACAACCGCTTACTTAGGAAGACCAACAGAGTGAGCAATCTGTGAAAATACATGGAGCATTGTGAAGACCTCTTCTTCGAAGAGATGTCTAAAGGCCTCAGTAGGGTCACAGTTTCGTGCTTTTATGTCTGTCTTGATCCTACTTACTATTATATGCACACGTGGGCAGCCCGATGGAAGCAGCCTAAACGCCGCAAGACGTGCATTCTAGCTTGGTGATATCAAGTTGAGGGAAGAGGTTTCGAATTATCAAACCAGTTGTAGTGATCAGGCCAATAAAACTACGAATTTTAGCCCTGTAAGTAATGGAAGGTGGGGAAGACATAGTTAATGCATGGACACAAGCATTTCTTCTGTTGGATCAATTGATTTGGGCGCCAGCACTTGAGGTGAAAATTCTGCCCTCCTTCTTGTTCATGCGCATGGAAAATATGAGAAATAGCAGCAAAGACATTATTCAATCATGTTCACTAAGAGTTGTTTTCTGACCTGGCGCACATTTTTGTGACACAAAGCACCATTTTTTAACTTTCTATCGCTTCATTGAAAGCGTACGAGTTTAAGAAACTGATTATCTGAATTGCCTAATTTTTACTTAGTGCTCCTCTCGCAAAAAAGTATCCCTTTGAACTCACCTATCCGCGGTCAAGCCGGTGAAAGTTAGGACACTGAGGGCAATGCCGAATGCCGTGAAGAACTGGGAAAATCTGCAATATGCTAGTCCAAACGCCCAGTCGTTTATAATGGAATAGTAGACATTTGGTATGATTTGAAACACCGAGAGCATATCTCCGAGTGAGAGATTGACCAAGAAGTAATTTGTCACCGTACGCATACGTTTGGTAGTGAGGACAAGCCACACCACCAGTCCATTTCCCACAATAGTGAGGATGGAGATGAGAGAAAAGACCACAACGATCACAGCACAGCCAGCAAAGGAGAATGGAGAAGTGTCACCATCTGTAACGTTCAACGGGAGGTCTATGGTCGTCTCCATTTTATTGGAAATGAGGGCGAAGCCGATAGTTTAAACCCAAGTTCTCCCTCGTCCAATTTTGATTGGCTACCGTGTTGACCAATAGGGGAAGGAGTTTGGCGGGTCCGAAATACCTACTCTCAACTGTTTTGATGCGCGCTTGTGTGGCCTATATCATCTCCTGTATTTAATTTTTTTGATGAAAATACCTTGATGCTTTAACAAACGTTTTGTACACATTTGAAGTAAAATGCAAGTAGCCCCAGAGGCAGCCACCAGTTTTGTCATTCAAACAGTTGCTTAAAATTTTTTCCAAGCATATCATCAATTTCCTTTGAAGTCTGTGCTTAATTAAAGAGTAGCTATGGAAATGAGTAATATAAGTAAAGGCACCTCAGGCTCCTCTACTTGTTTTTTATTGTTCGCCTGTCAATTCTCCGTTCCTTATTTCCATGCCATTGTCTGGTGTCCACTAGACAGAGTGTTTGTGACTTTTACAGAGGCTGAAGGTACCGTGGTTGATGCATCCATCCCCTCTCATCCGAAAGAGTAATGTAAACAAGGGGCAAAGTAAAAAGAAGCCAACCTGTTGGTCAAAGAAAGGAAACACTTTTATGTGCTTGGTGTTAGGCAATGGTCA